AAATGTTTACCTTTTTAAAAATATGAAAAAATAATAATTAAATAAAAATAAATTTAAATAATATACATATTATTAGAAGACAAAAAGAATTATTGTGTAAAGAGTTTTTACCTGAATACAAAACAGAGATTCAGTCAAATAAAAAATTTAATCCATTCAATAATTATAAGTAATATTATACTGTGTGCTACTGTATGAATCGAATATCTCTTTTTCTTTAACCCATTATTATGGTAGATAGGATAGAGATTAGAGAGTTTTATGATGTGATATGATCTTCAGCTTCTTCTGCTCGGAGGGGGGTCCCATATCCACAGCGCCATGGCCCATGGCAAAAGTTAAGGGCGGAATTGAGGAGACTGGAGAGAGGCATGTGTGCGAGAGCATGGCGTGCGCATCAAATCAGACAGCACAGCAGGTTTGCACGGTGACAAGTAGAAAGCTCCACACGCCCAGTCTCTGCCACTGGCACCCCTCCTCCTCGTCCTCCTCGGCTCCTCCTCCTCCTCAAAAGCCTCACGCCAACGCACGTGTTCCCCTTTCTCACGTCCCTAGACACGACACTGCATCATGATTCCACCCCAACACGACCACCCCTTACTAATAAATAAAATTCCAAAATATATGTATATTTTATATCAAGTATTACCACAATTAGAAAATATATGTTCATTTGTCTCAGTTTTTGGGACGTTTTATAGTTAAAGATTTTATACCTCTACATCATTGTTCATTGAGGTTAAATTTGGACTTGGGATGAGTGTCGGTGAGTTTAGAGATGTTTGAAAAAAAAAGAAAAAAACAAATAAATCGATCTTATTGCAGATAGTTATTGTTACAGACAGCTAACCTTACAACAAAGCCTCTTACCATAGTACTCCTACTCCTAGGAATTTGGTCATATGAAAATAATTTAGAAATAATTTTTTTATTATTTCATTATATAATTTTATATATTATTTAAATAATTTATTTATTTAAAATTTATTATATTAAATATATATTTATTTAATAATATATAAAAATTTTATAAAAGTAATATAAAAAATTTATTTTTATTTCGTCACCTTTGATAATATTTTATTATTGAGTGTGCATCTCTTACTTATTATTAGTTTATGATAAATAATAATTATTGGATAAAAAAAATTTTAATATTAAAACACTTATTTACATTTTATAGTTAAATGTTATGTAATTTAAAATAATTTAAATTGTATAATACTTTTTCATTTACTTATTAAAACAAGTATGAATCTCTAAGGGTTATTCCACACATTTACTGGCATGATTATGGCCAAATAACAAAATTACTTAGTTAAAAAATTTAAAACTTTAAATAAAAAATTTAGACTACCCCGAAAATATAGAAGCAAGAAAAGACCAGTTTTTTCTCCCTTTTTTTTTAACATTTATGAAATTACCGTCTTTTATATACCACATTATAAAAAACTATAAAGAAGTTTTAATTATAAGGATTGAATCTATAGATTAATAAGTATTGTTTTATAAAATAAATTTAAAATTAAATTTTTACGTTAAGATATAAGATGAATTTTTAAAATTTTTTAAAAAATTTACTAACTACTTAAGTAATTTAATAATTATTTTTTTTCACTAAAAGTAAAAATTTTAAATTCGAATCGTATGACATATAGATAGAGTGTGATAAGGAAATGAAAGATAATTATTTATTATTATATAATTAAAATAAAAAATTATTTAAAAAATTTTAATATTCGGAGAAACTGACATTAAATCACACTACCACAAATAAAAAAATATATTATAGCCTAAGAATTTTTGTATAAAAGTTAACGCACGTTACTCTCAGCCTGCCGTTTTAAGCTTAGAAAATGGAGACCCAAATATTAAAGCAGAGGTAAAGCAATTATTCTGGATGGAAAAAGAATAAAACTTTACTAATCCCACGATAAGACACTCCCATTTGTATAATCACATAAAGCCATATCGCACAAATTCCCGTGGGTTCCCTTCCCACGCTCCTGATCTCTTCTCCGCCTCAAACCGACGGCCCTGATCCTCTCTGCCCCCATGTTACACACACTTCGATGTATCGCTTTCCGCCTCGGACAACGATGCTTCTGCCTGTGTGTCACGGGACCCCACTCTGCTCTCAAAGGCGGGAAAGCTATGGCTGACTGTCCCTTCCCCAAATCAGGATTACAGAGAATAACACCAGCAAATCAAGGATTAGGAAGGAGGAAAGAGTAAAGACCTTTTTCTTGGGTTTATGAATGATTCTGCTTCAAAACTCATCCTTGGTTTAGTGAAGCAGGTGTAAAAACTAGGAAAAGGGTCTTCCTTTGACTTTGATTTGCTGGGTCTGGGAGGTTTTAGTCATGGGTTTGGAGGGACTTTTTTGTTTGTGCGGGTTTTGTTTATAATTTTTAATGTTTAGTCAATTGTGTTGTGGTACATTTGTTTATGTTGGTTTCTGTTCCGCTGTGTCTTACCTTTCTTCTTTTGGGTGTGAAATTTGCTGTACTCATTATTCAGATTCGTTTTAGTGTCTGGTCAGGGAGGAAGGATGAGAATCAGTGACGAAATTATTCTCTGCGTCTTTCCTGTGAATGTTTCGAGTTGAAAATTCGTGTTTTATCTGATTCTACTCCAAGTTGAAGCAGTTTTAAGCTTTGTTGTTTTGGGTTTTTCCACAGAAGTTGAAACATTTATAGACTACCAGTTTTTGAAACAGGCAAATTTGGAGTTTTCCCTTTTTTTTTTTTTTGGATGCAGATTGCAGCTATATAACCACTTTTATGGTGATTTTAGGCTCTCTTTTTTCGGATGTTACAGAAAGATGAAAGCTTTAGATGGGTTTTAGGTTTGGAGTTATGGTATTCTGAACTTCAGGATAAGATAGCAACTTGTTTAGATATGGGTTTTGGCTCATTTTCGGACTGAGCTTGTCCTTGCTTTTGTGATTTTGATGTTTGCTTGTAGCTTTTTGGTTCCATGGAGAAAAGAAGAAGACATACTTGGTTTTTGCTTTTGCTGTTGTTCATTCTTTGCTTTCACCAAACGACAGTCGAATGCCATGAAAGGTTCATTAGACACCTCTCCTCCCAACCTCCTTCACCGTCGCGGTCCCCAGAATTCAAGTATGGACTCAAAAAGATCATCCTCAGCATTGTATTAGGGGTTCTGACTGGGTTAATTGGAGCTCTTCTTTTTGCTTTCTTAGTCAAATGTGTGGTTCAGTACATGAACAGAACACCACTCCTCAAAGGTCCCGTTATATTTTCCCCTAAAATCACTCCCAAAACTCTCCAATCAGCTCTTGCAAATGAGAACGAGTTGCTGGGGTCGAGCCCCAATGGGAAGTACTATAGAACGGTTCTTGACAATGGGCTCACAATTGCAGTCAAAATCCTTGAACCTTTTGATGCAGGGTCACCGGAGAGGAAAAACAAGTCTTTTAAGAGAAGAATACAGCAGGAACTGGAGGTTCTTGCCAGCTTAAGGGATAGAAATCTGATGAGTTTGAGGGCTTACGTTCGCGAATCTAATAGGTTTTCCTTGGTTTATGATTATATGCCCACAGGGAGCCTTGAGGATGCTATGAATAGGGCTAGGGAAAATCAATTGCAGCTTGGATGGGAGGTGAGGCTGAGGATTGCAGTTGGGGTTATTAAGGGTCTTCAGTATCTCCATTTTACTTGCGTCCCTCAGATTCTGCACTGTAATTTGAAGCCCACCAATGTGATGTTAGATGCTGAGTTTGAACCAAGGTTGGCAGATTGTGGGTTGGCTAAGCTTATGCCTAATATGGATAGGGCATCTTCGGGATACAGTGCTCCAGAGTGTTGCCAGAACTGCAGGTATTGAAATCATAGTTAAATTTAGAAATTGCTGAATTGTAGTTTTTGTAAGATTTTTGTGCTCCTCATAAGCTGTGTCGACTATATTACTTGTGGTTGAATGCCAGGGTTGGCTTCATTTGCTCAGCCGTGGGGATTATTTGTTGCAGTTCTGCTGTAATAGTGATTATAATTCTCAGGAATTTGGTGATGCCACTTTTACTTCCAATTTTTAGGATGAGCTTGCCCCATATTTGATATTGGTTAATTTTTCCATATGATGCATGTTCAGTAAGTTTCTTTTGTACAAGTGCTGTCGCAATGGAGGACTAATGCTCAGATAATTACAATAATTGTGTTTCTGTTCTCTCTCTTTCTTTATATTTCCTTTTCTCAAAAATTTCCATTGTTCCTCTAGAACTTAATTGATTAGGATTAGGACTGTAACAATAGAATGCTAAAGGAGTGATCATTAGTCTTATCTTTACCCTTATGTCTCTTTTTCATGAAATACAAAGTAGAAGTAATGGCGTTTATTGAAGGGTTTTGCAATTTCCTACTGATTGTGTTTTTATTGGTCTTTCTTGATGTACATCCTTAGCTGCCATAAATCATGAGTCTACAATCTGTTTGTAATAGAAGTTTCTGTTTTCCGTGAATGTTTAAAAATCAACCATATATATTGTTCTAACAAAGATGAGTAATTTCAACTTCAACAGGTATACTGAAAAAAGTGATATCTTCAGTTTTGGGATGATATTGGGTGTTCTATTGACTGGTAGAGACCCAAATGATCCCTTCTTTAGGGAAGCAGCCTGTGGAGGAAGTCTAGGGAGATGGCTCCGGCATTTGCAGCAGGCTGGGGATGCAAAGGAGGCACTAGATAAAAGTATTCTAGGAGAAGAAGTTGAGGAGGATGAGATGCTGATGGCAGTGAGAATTGCTGTTGTCTGCCTATCAGATTTGCCTGCTGATAGGCCTTCCAGTGACGAGCTTGTTCCCATGCTAACTCAGCTGCACAGTTTTTGACATGCAAGTATGTTGAAGCTCGGGTCCCTTCAGGTTCAGGAAATTGGATCTTTTTGCGTATCACTCTGAGCAACTAGAATCCATGTGGGCTTCTAGTCTTACGAAATTGAAAGAGAATATTCAGTATGCCCGTGCTGCCATTCTTTAATTTTCTGGCATTGTTCAAATCTAGATGCGTTACTCATCATGGCATGTGAAGTTATGTACATCACAAATGCAAAACGAGAATTCTAACTCAAAAAAGGTAATTTGATCTGATACTTCAGCGACACATCTGCGTTCTTATGATTTCTAACGACTGACAGTGGAGTGGTTTTCTTAGCTACATTATATTGACAAAGCTTTTTCTAACTAACGGATTACCCTAAATTTACCCAGCTATCTTCATCTCTCTTATTTTTTGGTTGGATCTTTGAGAGTGGGCTCTTTTTTTTCTGCATAGAATCCCAGTTGATTGGGGTGAAGTGGGGTTTTGATGTTTTGGTATTTGGATGTTGCCTATTCTTTAGCTTATTTAAACTTTTAACTTCCAAGACATTCATATTTTTCTGTTTTTAAAGCTCTTGTTAGTGGAGCCAAAATTAAATTAGTCTGTCTTTGCCAAAGTTGTGTGACTAAATTTATCCATATGAAATTATGGAGGCTACAAAGAAGGAAGCAAAGGCCTGTGGTGGGGATGCGGGTGGATGGATGCTAGGGGATATACTAAAACTGAGGGGCTTTTATTTAAGCGGCAGCTGGGACCAAAACCAAAAGCAAAGCATGCTTCTCAAGGGTGAGTTCAAAAGGCATGGGGTAGATGTGTCATGGCAGCAAGGAACTGTAATATTACCCCTTACAGCTCACTTGAGACGATGCTTTTAGCTTCTAGTGGTTATGTAGATCCTTTCCTTTTTCTTTGGGCCCTATACATTTTTCCAATATCAAGATTTTCCAATAGAATAAGGCAAAGTATGCAGCTATCTGTTTTCTTTGGATTAAGTGAGAGAGAGAGAGAGACCTTTTTCATTAAGTATTTTTAGTTGGGATTGAGATTGGTTCAAAAAAGTGCCAGTTTGATCGGAAATAGCAATTTTGCCCTTAATAATGGCCATTTTCCTTTTTTCTCCCTTTTATTAATGAGAACATTTTAAAGCTAGACTAGAAAACCTATTTGGTTCGGTTATTAAAAATAATTAAATAAAATAGTCAATATCTATTATTAACAGTTTAAAATTAATTTATAAATAATATTTTTAAACAATTTAACTAATTATATGTTTCTCCAAAAATCCTTTTCCAACGACTAGTAGCTTAAGAGAAATGAGAACTTTTCCAACGACTTTTTTTATGGTCGATCTTTTTGCAGATGGCAAGGAGAACATTGGATTAAAATTGAAATTTGCGCTTACAAATGATTTGCAAGAAGGGGGATACCTTTCTGCATAATGGGTTACGAAATTTGTTTTGGACAATTTCAAATACTTAAATACTACTGTGAATTAAAGTTAACAAATCTTAATTAAACTAAATAACATGTAATTTAAAGTAAATTTACGATAACAAGATATATTCAAAATAAATTAAATATGTTCATTGTTAAATTAAAATGCTATCTACTGACAGATCTGGGAATTAAACTATCGCAGAATTGGAGATTCTACCCTAATTAAAACTAAAACAAACATAAATAGGAATTAAATTAACATGCTTGAAGTTGAGAAGAAGCATAAACGTCATATAAGTAATCATTGAAGAAATGTTACTTATCATAAACATTAAATTAATTACAAACAGAAAAGGAACAATATTTGAAAGATTAAAGTTTATTGCATGAAACGAAATTGTTGAAGCAAATACATAAATTAGTTTATCTACTAGAATGATGAAAAACAACTTAGATCTACTGAAAATTATGTTGAAATCCGAAATCTTGAAACAATTACAAAAAAAGTGAAAGTCTAAAAATTTGTAAATATTTGAGTAGGGCTGGCCATGTGTTCTCTCTTCCAAAATTTCCTTTTTGTTCTTTTTTAGCCGACAGTAACTCCCCACTTTCTGCAATTACAAAGTTGTTGGTGGTTTCTTGAGGTAGTGGGGCAGTTCAACAATTGACCTGATTAGATCTCCTTCTAGATTTTCGCTACTTATGCCCTTATCAGATAATTGCTTTCTACAACTACAATTTACTCCTAAATTTCAACTAAAACAGTCCCTTTTTGACTCAAAGAGGTAATTACACATTAAAATCTTATCTTTATCTCCATTTTCCGCCAATGTGGCAGCTGATCTGCCATAGAGTCTATAATAACAAATCTGACATAACTTAATCTTCTCCATTCATTTAAAAATATTTTGACACGTGGCATGATCTTAAATTTTTACAATTTATGATATAAACACTATATAGGAATAAAAAACTGTCGGATGATAAAAATCAGCCAACTCTCGGCAAGTATGGACGGATGATACCCTTTTACAGACGAGACCTTTTTCCAGAAGGGAGAAAGGGAGAAAGAAGGAAGAAATATACAAGAATGTTGAATACAATTTTTTTTTTCAAGTTTTATTTCAGTTCAATAGGTAGCAAAAGGACTTTCATGATGCTGGGCTCTATAAAGTGGGCTCTGTCCCTCTGTAGTTCTAGTGCTTGGTCAAGAACAATTACTAAACATGTCTCTCTTGCTTTGTAATTGCGGCTGGATCACACTCACCACCCTTAAGTGAGTTTGCTCATTACCTGTGAATGGAGTAATTACATTACACATTGGACTAATTGGGTCAACGAAAAAGTGTTGTGTAGTTAGCACCATCCTCGACTGCACAATACTTAATGTTTTGGGGCTCTCCTCCCATTCAATTACTCCTGGTTTATAGTTTGATGCAATTTAAATGGCAAAATAAGACTCTTTAATCAAATATTTAAATACTTGTTACTTATCCAAAAAACCAGTTCAATAGATTGAATTATTAATTAACTCAAGCACATTGAATCTAGATACAGTACAAAATTCCCATAAGCAGGACCCAGACCAGAGTCATTTGGCAATGAATATGGGACTGAGTGGAAATGCAATAACCAAGTATAACAATAAAAGGCAATCATGTCAGTGAATCAGTTGCTTTCTAATGCACTAGCAGAGCCATTCCCACAACCATCAACTAACTCAGACAGATCACCGCTCTCGAAAAAAGATTGGTGGAGGTCCCTGATACATTGTTCAGCTTCGCTGTCATTTACTATTAGTGAAATATTCACCTGTTCAAATTAAAGATTTAATTTATCAGGAAACTGGGTATCTCATACTTGAAGAGCATGTGCAAAGAGTTAAGGCAGACCTTGGATGCCCCTTGTGAGATCATTTGGACATTGACCCCATTGGTTCGAAGAACATGAAAGGCCTGCCAAAATTAGAAATCAATTACGTTAGACAACAGTGGAAAAGGGAGTACTTGTTGCATACCATGATTCAACAGTACATGTTAATGTCACATATGAACAAAATTTTAGAATTGTCATTTGATAAGGTAAAAAGTGATTCCAAATGGTATTCCTTAAAATGAACCAAGTAGAATACCTTCTCCAGTATCAATGAAGAACGCTGAACATTTCCAATAAGAGAGATGATTGATCTGCCCTGTAGCAGATTCACGACAGCAATCTTTTCAAGCTCTTCCACAACATGGTCAAGTTCCTGACAGACAAGAATCCTCTTCAATTGGATTCAACACTAAAAGCAGTACAGTAAGGTTTGCAGAAAGAGACAACATTAAGAAAGTTGGCCAATGGATAAAAGTTGAGATCCAGGTAAAAATCAAGTTCCTGACAGACTTCCTGCCCCTTAATGTACCAAGCACAAGACATAATTCAATGACACAAGTAACTTCAAAATTGTACTGGAATATACAAGTGACTATAATGTACCAAAGAGAGAGGTTTGCTTGCCTGTTGAATCAGTTCCCTGCTCCAAAGTTTAGAAGGGTCTAATGTCAAAGATATACTAACTTCACTTGTAGCAACAACATCCACTGATATGCCTAAATCTTCAAAAATTGAAAATACCTGCTAGATGGAAAATATACATCTAAGATTTCATATTACATTAATAGCTTACAGCATATAATGCAAAAATAGCTGTCAGAACAGAACAATGACTGCATAAAATTTCACCTTAGCCAGAAAACCATATTGACCAAGCATGCGGGTACTAACTATATCAAGCATAGTAACATTCCTCTTCAAAACTATGCTGGTAAGGACAGCCTGTAATTGCATTTTGGTTAGAGATTTCAGTTTTACTCTAACATGAGATTTATTTTCCGAATTTTAACTGCTACAAACCTTGCTCATGTCTCTCGCTCTACTAATTAGAGTGCCAGGAGCTTTAGGGTTGTAAGAGTTCTTAACCCAAACAGGAATATCACCCTCTCTAGCTGGTCTCATGGATTGTGGATGTAAGACCTGCATAGAAATATAAAGACAACCTTTACTCCTCTTTGCAGACTCTACAGAGATTTGATATTGTGAAAATTCAACATTTTGTTATAGGGCATCAGATTAAAATGGGGTTAGAATTTGTCTTAGCTCAATCGTCACAGATAAAAATATTAAATGATTAAATAAATTATCAAGGTTCCATTTTTCCCAATAGAACAGAACATAAAATCAAAGATCATTCATCCAACTAGGAAAAGGTATAAAAATATAGGCTTGACAGCCTTCCATGTTTATCCTCGCAACATATGGAAAGATACAACAGAATTGGTGGTAAATGGGTTGGAGTATGCACAAGTCCCAACCTGCAAACAATTCCTTAGCATTCTTATAACTACTATAATTTCATAATTGAACAGGATTGAAAAGGAATTTGATCAAATGATTATATAAAAAAATCTCTATTGCTTTCTACACTCATAACACCTTAGCAAAGCCAATGTGCTCCTCAAACTAGTCTCATCCTAAAAACTGTATCTCCTTTTCTCAATTCTTTACCACCAAAACTTGATAAAATGACAAGTCCACCAACCACCATGATAGTCCCTGGGATTCACATCCACACCCCTCCCCCCCCCAAAAAAAAAAAAAAAACTAGTTTTTGAAATTTTTCAAAGGGTAAGCAATTCTTTTCTGATGGTCATCTGACCTACTAGATCAGGTCCACCTTTAAATGCACTTAAATATCACACAGCAAGGAGTACTACAAATCTAACCTGTGCACCACAATATGCAAGCTCAGCTGCCTCATCAAATGTTAAATAAGGTACTGGTTTAGCACGAGGATAAATAGTCGGATCACATGTCAAGACACCATCAACATCCTTCCATACCTATTAATTGGGAAACAAGTTATATATATTGTTCAATATGCATCGCATAGAAAATAAGTGCAGAGTTGGAAATATTAGTGCTCCCATGTCACCTGATAATGAACATCAGACATGGATCACAGTGGAAAAATACTGAGTAAATGCAACAGCATTTGCATGTTCGTATGAGTTCATGAGCACATGCAGTTAGGTTCAGTCTGTAATCTGACCTGAACCCGACTTAGCTAAAAGAAGAAGATTAGAAAAAACTGACCTGAATTTCTTTCAATCCTAAAGCTTTACCAATGGCTGTAGCAGTCAAATCACTACCACCTCTACCCAGGGTTGTGATTGCACAAGATTTCCAGCCCTACAATAAGATAAACAGATGAACATGCATTATATGATTAAACCTGTGACATCCTACAGATTATATCAATTCAAGAGGAACTTAAATTTGAACATTAACATAATGACACAGATAGACAGTATAACAAACCTTTCCCAAGAAGCCTGTTACAATGGGGATTGCAGGATCATTAACATATTCACTATTTAATCTTTTTGCAACTGCTGGGTAAGTAGCTTCCAAGATGTCTGCATTGGTAAAATCATCTGTTGTTATGAAACCAATATCAAATGCATCGTACTGCAAAAAAAAAGAAAAAAGGATGGATTAATAAGGTTAGCTATAAGAAAGTAATCTGAACTGGCTTTGACAAGGAAGGAAAAGAAGAAGAAGAAGAAGAAGAAGAAGAAGAAGAAGAAGAAAAAGAAAAGGTTATGTATAAAGGAAAATGAAAAAATTGAAGATAAGCGAAGTTAGGAATATTATCATACAGGTTTGTCATGTTTGACAGAAAAATTATACAGGTTTGTTGCAGGAAACATCACCAAGTGTTCAAGTTCCAGGCAAAGGGAACAGCCTTTAACTTAGCTATGCTCAATGATACTTCTAAGAAATAAGAATGCCACAAGGTTCCAGTTTTACATCGTTGAGCACCACTATTTGTACAACTTTGTAGATAATTACTAACCTACAAGCTTTTAGATGGTGCCTTAGTTTATTGAGAATATAATCCATGATAAAAGACCAGAATACTTCTCACCACAGAGAAACAAAGAATCTGAACATTAGAAATAAGCATTGTTCAACCAATTTTAAAGATTATTCTTGAACATGGACCATAAAAACCAAAGTGTGCACGAAAGAAAACCATTGCATACTGACATGACAAGGCCATTCTAGTTATACATCTTGTCTAGACCTCCTGTTCATAATTTTATTCTGGTTTGTCTTTAAAGATATAGGATTCTAACTTTCACTGAAATGAAAAGGAGGCAGTCCAGAAGATCACATACTTGGCGTGCTTTGACACCGACTTTACTTAGATAAGCTGCAAAGATTCTTGTGGACATGCACTCTCCAAATGAAACTAAGTAGTCTTTTGTTCGAAGAGTTAATTCTTTCATCATGGCTATGCCCTTGAGAAGTTGATCAAGTTGTTCCAAGTGTGCTACAATATAGTATGTCATCTTGTCAGTTACCTACTATTCTCCACATAAGTCAGGAAACAGGAACAAATTGTGTAGTAGAAGACTTAAGTGAATATAAAATATAGAAAAGAAAATAGGAGCAAACATCTGCAAGAAGTTTAAATCAGTTGAGCAGCTCCATAACATGGTGAGAATTGAATATACTAATATAAAAAGGATTGGTATGAATATATGTGCATGTCGTGACTACTCATACAAGATTAATGATTTTAATTAACAATGGAAAGGTGAGCAGCAAAGAGAAAATCTCACCTGAAATGACAGAGCTATCAAGTCCAAGTTCATCAACAGTCCTGAAACAAAACAAAAAAAAGAACCCAAATTGAAATTGATTCAAAGCAATTATGACCCCTAAAGACATGTTTAGCTAAAAAAAAGAATAAAACAGTTAGAAAGGAACAAACCTAAGATGCAGTTCCTTTATAAAACACAGCTCTTCAATATCTGCCGTATTAGAAACACCACAACTAACAGCCTTCTCTCCGGCCTATGTCACAGCAACACAACACAATGCAATCAACAATTGGAAGAAGGAAACGAAACAGAAAAAAAATATGGTTGTGTTTGTGCATTACCAGCAGAAGCTTATTAGTTGTTTTCCCCATTGCAGAGAGAACAATGACAGGCCTTTCTTCGGGAAAACTCCGAATCAAGTCAGCAATTTCTCTCATTCTCTCCGCCGACGCCACAGACGATCCGCCAAACTTCATAACAGAAGTGAATTGCTTCTCATTTCCTTCAGATCTCAGCTTGCTCTCCGCCGTTTTCTCTTCAAACACGGCTCTAACTCCAACTCCTCTGGTACGGCGTACACTCAGCGCTCTTCTCCTTCCAGCGCCGTCCACGACAGACCACAAATCCGACGACCATACGAATTCGACTCGACTCGACGAGAGCGAATCCGCGTACGCATTGCTGAATAGCGAGTTTCTTGTGAATGCACAGCTCGGATTCTTAACACGACAAAGTCGCAACAAAGTTGCCATTTCTCAATCAGATTGATGGAAACCTCAGGCGTAGAAGTGATGATGAAGCAGAGTCCGATTGCTTGAATGTGTTTCCCCTGAAAGAATAAAGGAATTATAGGGCTTTGGGCGTGGGTTTAACAAAGTCTAAACTCTTGCACGTTCATCACTTCATCTCCGTTTAAGAGCATTACTAAGGAAAAAGACGCGGCGTCGCTACACGAGTAGCGTAGGGTTTTTGAAAATTTGTCCTAACAACTTGGTCACCCCTGAACCAATTTCGTTTTCTCAATTCATCTCTCGAACTTATTTTTTGGGAAAAATGGCTACTCAAGCCGAAGTTCTTTTTCTAGAGCTGTTTGGTATAATAATTTGAAATTAGTAATTAATAATTTTATTTAATTTAATGGATAAAAATATTTGAATTATTAATAATAACAATTATTAATTATCAATTTTAGATTAAATTAAATTACTAATAACTAATTTTAAATTACTATACTAACTAGTTACCTACATAATAAGGGCTCTAGTTATGGGCACACAAAGATTTGTTAAGGCTACACAAAGATTTTCTTTTATTTTGTCAAATTACAATTTTATTCACATTTTAAAAAGCAAAAATCTCTATTCTCTAAAGGGATAAAAGGGAAGAGTACAAAAGAGACATGATCAAGAGGTAGATCAAAAGTCGAATCAAGAGCAAGAGTTGATGCCCAAGGGTGTGAAAGATGGTTCAATGAGGTGAAGAGATTGATGCTAATTGAGCCTATGTATATTGCTAAAAAAGAAAAAGAGAGGAAAAGGAAAAGGAAAAATGTCGAGATTCAATGAAAATAGATTTTTGTATTGTAAACTATGTTATAGGAAGAGAGTGGAGGGGAGAGGACATCTAGTGCTACTAGTAAAGGGGTGCGTTGGAGTTTAATTGAAGAAGAGACAGTGGAGAAAGGAGGAAATCTGACAACTATCCTATTAGAATTCCTAGAGCTGTTAGTAATTAGGTCCTTCTTTCATTATATTTGATTCAACTTTCTTTTGTTGTTTGAATTATTTAATATGAGGGAAATCCCTATTTTCTCTTCCTATTACATGTAAGTGAAGGAAGAGGTAAGAGCATACAAACTAACAAGTTTTTGTTGGAACCCCTTTCCCTTTAAGTCATGGCCTAAGATTTCTATTTTCTTAAAATGAATGGATAAATTTGTTATTTGACAAAATAAAAGAAAGTTTTTATATGGCCTTAACAAATTTTTGTGTAGCCACAAATTTTTGTGTAGTCATAATTGAAATGCAATGGGGAGACCTAACACTTTTTTTAGTATGTCTAGTAATAAGTTATTTATAAAATGATAACTCTTTTATTTTTAAACTACTTTTTACTTATTTCAAAATTTAAATTTGAAACCTCTAATATAAAATTTTAAATTTTTAAGTCTCAACTATTAAAACATCTTTTAAGGGATAAATCCATCTTTTTAGGGGAGTGGAAAACTCTTTTTATTAATTGAGGGCAATTTATTAAAAAACTACATAAATTTTATCTTTCTATCAAAATCTAATCTAATCATTTGCTATAATCTCAAATAAATATTTTAATGTAACTAACTCATGCAATGTGAAGATTGTTCCGAATCTTTTTGGCCTTTTAGTTAGCCTAATGCTTACTCGTAGGCTATAAAGGCTGATAGAAAATTATAATTCAGAGTTTAATTCGCCATATCTATTAGTGTATTAGTTTATGGCATAAAAGAAAGTTGAAGGCTTAGATTGAAAAAATAAAATAAATTCAAGGGCTAAGATACGGTTTTTGACTTGTATTCCACACAAACAGCCCACCTTTTGTGAAATGAAATCAACGGCGACTGTTGGAAAGGGCCCACATATTCTGACTTTGACCTAAAGGAAAACGTTTTCAATTCGACAATGAATTTATTTTTTATTTTTTATTTTGAGGTGCATGGAGTCAAGGCTGTTACGTCCCGTAAATTACCGTCCCATATTTCATGCTACTAGAAATCAAAGCTTATTTTTGCTTGAAAGGAGATTATTATTAAGATAATTAGGTGGTCGGCAATTTGACATGACATAGTTACATAAAATTATTAATTTATGTTAAATTAGTAAATACATTTAATATTATTATGAGTAAAATTTTAAATACAAATTTTAATATATATACTAATGATTAAATAACTAAATAATAATATTTTTAATAGAAGTTTGCATAATATGTTAGTAAAATTGATTAAGGAATAAAAAAATTATTTTTTATTATTCAATTAAATAAAGCTCAAATATATAAGAATATATACTATAAAGAATAATTAAAAAAGTTTATTTTGATATTAAATTATCACAATTATATTATTTCATGCAAACTTATATTTTTATATATTAAACCCTTAGATTAAATATTTAACAAGACACTTTCTCCTATTCGCACATTTTAACTTAGTGGTATTGATTCTGAATTAGTGGAATCACCTCTGTAAATTATAATTTTAATATTCACATATTTTCTTTCTTATATTTATTTACCTCTTACCCTGATTGTAATCATGTTAAAAAAAAAAAAAAAGACACTCTCTCCAGCACATGAACTTTCTTTGAAATTCATATTAATATTATTTGATTTGATTTATATTTTATACATTTAAATAACAAAATTTTGAATTAAAACTTAAAAAATAAAAATAAAAAGGAAAAGCCGCCATTGATCCATTCCTGCGCAAGATGCATCAATTCCTTGAGTTAAAAAATAAAAACCCAGCACTCTCTCTCTGCAGAGAACAAGTTCAATTTGAAAACTCCTCTCTTATTGGAAGAGATATGACTTTATTTATCTTATGAAAATTTTATTTTATAATTAAAATTATATTATATTACAAAATAAAAATTACTGAAGAAGAAAACGATTGTTGATATTAAGAGTTTATTCTTATCTAATAATTAATATAATATAATATAATTTAAATTATATTAATTTTTTATTATTTTATTCTAAGAAATGAAAAATATTACAGAACAA